CTATTCCTTTAACCTGCATGATAAACTATGCTTGTTGTGACTCAGCCAATAGCAAGTGGTCCCAAACCAACACTTCCTTCACTGGTATACCACCATGAAGCAGTTTGAAGAACATAACAAACAAAACCAAAATATCCAATAGCACATATTCTGAAAAAAGAGGAAAGGTTTTGAAGATAGGAAAGTGGGGTAGTATTTATTGCAATGACATTTTTCTTAGGTAGGCTGGTAAAAAGCGGTATCACAACACCTTCATGCTAATCACTGGAGCTAAACATTACCCAGAAACTTTAAGTTTGTTCTAAATACGTGAATCAAAAGTCAATAGCTTTGCAAGTATCAATTATCAAGTCAAGGTATTTAACTAGTAATTTGACTTTTAGTATGAAGGCAAGAAAGATTTTTCCATTTTTTTCCTCCACCACAGTGTGCACCAGGGGTAGGTTTATGGCAGCATAAGCACAAAGAGGGTTGTATTCCTCACCAAGCCCTGTATTTACATTGCCTGACATAGCTTACGCACACCCAGTCAAGTGGCATCTTAAGAATTTAAAACATTGTAGAGACTACTATTCTGATTTCAAACAATCCACTTATCTGTACTAGTAGATGATTTAGCTCTCTAAACCAATTCTTCCTGGAATGATCACAACTTTTTATTCAAATTCAGTTTTTGTGCAATTACTCACCAATAGTGACACAATAAAAAGAATGGTGAGAAATTGACTGTACTGAGAAAAGAGATTCAGACAAGCTGAACGAGAAACCTCATTTTCTGACCATTTTTCACAGGATCCTACCAACGTTCTTAGCCCATGCAAGCCCATTTATCCCTGTTTACCAGGCAGCTGTATGAGCATTGATGGTGGCATAGGGATGAAGTGAGTGACTGGTGCAGGTCTGACAACTTGGCAGCAGTACCAGTTTATGCTAGATTAAGTTGACAAAATGATGATGAAAATAACAGATTGTCTGTATTAGACTTACAGACCTTGAGAAATCATCTCTATAGAGGAATGGAAAGGACTGTACTTACAAACACATGCTAAGATACTTAAACAGAAAGTTCTACTATATTTAACAGCAACAAAATGGGAAAGCATGTGTAAAAAATAACACAATCTCCCCTGTTCAACTGCCTTTGTTTCACATATTTTAAGTAATGAAAAATCTTTTAACAATGCTTTCTGTATACACTTGGTTTAGATAGCAGTGTTCAATAAAAAGAAAGTGGTTCTTTATGTGGAAAAGAATTAGGAATTCTCAATACTTTATAGGGTTTTAGTTAAAGTTCTCCAGGACTAAAGTTCCTGTAACTCCTAAGTTCCATAGAAAAATTAGCAAAGACAAAAGCAAAGGAAGTTTTAAAGAACAGCATGTAATTTTGACAACAATTGTTCTTTGACCAATACTCTCATATCTGTGTTTTATATTAAAAACAAAGACAATAAAGCCTGTAATGTTTCTACTGCTTTTTTCCCTGAAAACAGAGAATATGCAAAATTTAAAAAAAAACAAAACAAAAAAAAACCACACACAAAAAACCCAACAAATAAAACAACAAAAAACCCTGCATAAAAAATGACAGTAAGGTTCTAACTCCAGCCCACAAAAGCCAAGAAATTTAAAGTTAGTCTGACATTCAATCCTTAAATCATGCAAGGGTGCTTCTTTTTTTTTCAAAAAATGACAATGCAAAGTAATGACAAGTTGTCAGCCCTAACTTTGAATTGCCTGAAGTTTGTCATTTGGTGTTTGTGTCACAACCTTAATGTTATTTAAATGTAGTTTTTAGTATCTATTATTTAAAAAGGTCTACTTTATGACAGCAAAAAGCTTTGATGGAATAAACCTCAAAGTACACTGTAGTGCTGGTATGCCACTTCATTAGAAGTAGTGCATAAAACATATGCTGTTGACAAATCTAATTCATTAAACTTGAGGTAGAAGCACTTTAAAGCAACTGGATGGCATCATTAACTACAGTTCCTTTCATAAATTATTCCTCTTTTTTCTTTTGAATGATTTTGTCAGTGTTCCCTTTTCAGACTGAGAATGTTTTTGCCTTAAAGTTCAATACCTTCAACATGTTTGGACAAGTTAAATAAGTAGCTTATTTGCTAACACTGAAATTGTAAGCTGATTATTTCACCCATATTAACTAAAGAGGAATAAAATTAAACAACAATGTAAGTGTAAGAGTTTCAGCCTTATCAAACATAAAATTTTAAAATTAAGAGAAGTAGAGATTAGCTAGTACAACAGAGTAACACTCTAGCAGCATTTTGCTATTGAGGTAACTTGGATTTGATATTCAATTGAATTCTGCAAGAGAGAAGATTAGGCACATCACAGAGCTGATGGCTAAATGACATATTTAGCTATAAAAGGAAGAGTTGCCAATTATATTACTTCGAGTTTTAGACAGAGATCAAAATTGGTACATGAACTAAAGACTACAATAAGGTCCATAAATGAAGCAGAGCTGGAATTTGAAGCATGGCCTATCAGAGCCACCTCCCAAAAGCAAAAACACATAACTAGTCAAAACCTGATCAAATTCCATCTCAGAATATTGTTTCCTGCAAGAACACTTAAATTCTTACCTTCAGATCAGAAAAAAATAAGTCCTATCACTGAGGTCTTTAAAAACCAAACCACAGTGCAAGAACTTCATTGAATATCTAAACAATAAAGTGAAAAAGGATGCTTTCGAGGACTAAATATACACAGCTTATGATTAAATTCCACTAATAACAAATTCAAAGAAATTCTAAACTACGTGGTATACAAAGAAACAGAAAACTAAAAAAAAAAAATTAAGTTTCTTAATCAAGGAGTCTTTATGTAATAAAATTTTCTTTTTAATTTCTTATAAAGTGACCTAAATTTATTCACTGAAAAAAAACCAAAACAATTAGAACCAACCCACAGAAATTTCTGCATAGAATACATAATCATACTTCATTATGTCAGTAACTTATACAAATATTTTCTGATTAATTACCTGGATTTGCAGAGTTCTGCCTTGTTCAAGAAAAGCCCATGAACAGCAGATTACACCATCTTATAGATTTTTAGACAGACATGTACACATACACCTTTTCAACTAGATTAAGTGCCTCAGATTAATTCTATACTGTCTCTCTGCAGAGACAAAATTATTCCAACATACTTACTACGAAAATGTAAGAGGTGGATGTCTTACTTTGAAAAGTATCTTAAATATGGAAACACTTCCAAATATAATTCACTGAGGCCTATTTTATGTCTTCAAGGATTGCAGCAAATCAGGATCTGGAACCATTTCTCAAACCAGACAGACTAATTTACTGTAGAAGTTCTTTGAGAGACAACATACTGCCCATTTCTAGCTCTCTATGCTTGAACACACAAATTTCCTCCTAAAGGTGTACAAATGCTCTGCTCCATATGCCTGATTAAGTCATCCTGTCAACTACACCACTTGTAGCAGTGCAGCAGAGAGAAGACTCTCCATTAGGTATAAGAAATATGACAGTGATTATGTGGATAACTATGATTAGAATTAATGCTAATACAGTATCTAAATTTGCCAGTCCAGTATATAATGTAAGTGGGTCTAAAGGGTTGTAATATCAGAGGCTTGGCTAGAAACATGCAGGTGAACAACCTTTGGCCTTCCAGAATGCACAGTTACAAAGCAACAAAGTATGTATGGACTACTTTCAGATTTTATCTCTGTATGTGGCTGGATCTTATTGCTGGATCTTACTACTTTTTTACTCAATTCTCCAAAAGTGAGTTTTCCCTGCCTTTGGGTTGGACGTACCCTGCAGGCATCCCTGCTGGGGAGCAGGGGGAGGTGTTACACACAGAAGCTGCTTGCAAGCTCAGGAGACCAGTTTGCCCAGTCTCCAGCAACATTTTACACCTTTTTGCAGGCCAAGGTGCATCAAAGTCAATCACAATGATCAAAGCTCTCCCATCTCTGAAATACATCAATTATGCAACCATCCAGACAGTTCCTGCTGCAATTCCTACCTGGTGTTATTACCTTAGGAAAGGAACATTCCCACCACATGTTTTTATCTCAGAACAAATCAAACTGTCTATCAGAGACAATCAAAAGGGAGGAGGTGTGTGTGTTGGAGGTGGTGTGGAGGGAACTGCACATGAAAACCTGGTTATCTTTTGTCAGGTCACATTTACCACATCAGTCAGCATTTATCATTCACCTCAGATTAATGACACGTATGTCCAATATGCTACACACAAAATTTTTCTAATTAGTCTCGGATTAATCCTCATCCTGCTCTTTTTCCATTTTGTTCCCTCTCCTGCCATATTGTCTTTACAAGTATATGGAACAGTGATCTATGTTTGAGCTTTGCACTACCAAAACCTGGGAAAAGTTATCTGCTGATGGGCAACTAAGATCTGCAACATCTGCTGATGGCAGGTGTTCTACCTTAAGGGACAACTAAACAGTTACAAAGGACCTCTATGATCCTCTGCTAACTGCTCAAACTTCTACTCAGCCCCAGTGAGACTCTACTGGAGCACCATGTCCAGCTCAGCTCAGACAAGTCCAGAGGAATGTGACAAGATGATCACAGTGATTCTGGTATGAAGACAGGCTGAGGGAATTGGGGCTGTTGAGAGTGGAGATGAGAATGCCCTGGACAAACCTCTTCATAATCTTCCAATACTTAAAAGGTAGCTTGTAGTGGGTTTAAACTAGATGACCTTTAAGGTCTTTTCTAACCCATCCTATTCTATGAATCTCATCTTAAGTAGCAAATCAATGTCTGATACCCATATGTCACAATCATATTCCAGCTACATATTGATAAATAATTAGAATTGTAACATTCTGTAGGGTATTTTTATACTTTCTTGCTCTTGTTGCACCTTCCTTATCTACCCTATAATAATTCATGCCATACTTTCTCATAAGTTTTCTGTATTTTTATCCTTCTCCCATCCTCAATCATCTCTACCTTTTCCCTCATACTTACTTCAAGTACAGTGAACTGCAGAGAAGGTAGAAAGTGTACATGTAACACATTACCCCACTGGGTGTATCATGTCTAATTTGATTTCCTGATGTCTGCAAGCCAGAGCTCATGTTTATCTACATTCTGGGCATGCTGTTGGCAGTTGTCTAGTCAGAAATAAACCTGGGGGGAGAAACACATTATTGCAGAGAAGAAACCATTCTGGAATATTCATAGTACATACAGATTGTACTCAACAACATTCTATTATTAGCAAAAATTTACAATATGTCCTAGCCTTACCTACATTTACCATTTAAATGCAGTTACTTAGAGAAGAACAAAATACCAAAAGACAAAGAAAGTGATTTTATGGCCTAAAAAAAACCAGTAATCAGCAAACATAATGTAAATCAGCTTATGGGCATTCCCAAAAAACTAAAAGAGAAAAAGAAGACTGTGAAAGGACTTTGATGAATGAAAAATTGCTGATCACATCAGAATGTATCTCCTATTAGGAAAAAATATTATTAGAAGGTCACTGGGGAAACTAGGTCAATTAAGTATTCCAGGCAGGTATATAGCGCATTTAGGACAGGGCAGAAGAGCAGTAATATGATTAAGAAGGTCTAAGAAGCAGCACTAGATTAACTCATGTCAGACAATGATAAGAAACTTGAACTTTATGTGGTAGGGAAGTTAAGTATTAAATGCAAAATAAATCCATTTCATGCCTATATTTTAAAAGAAACAACCAACCAAAACCTTAGTCCAAGACATGAGAGACTGAAAGTACACTAAAAAAAAATACAGTTCACTAATTCATTACGTAGTGAACTAATACACATAAACTCATGATCAGAAGAGTTACTGAACAAGCTGCTGAAGACTATTCTGTGCTCTCTACATTTGTCCATAACACTGGTTCACTGACATACATTAACATGCATGACATACAATGGCATACATTAACAGAAAGTGAGCTGGCAGAAAGGCAGATGAATGCAAGGAGATGAGAAGATTGGCTGAGCTTATAATAGTCATAAAAATAAGTGTTCTTTGGAACAAAAATGGTTACATGAAAGAAATACAAACAATAGAACCTGAGAAGAACATGAAGACATTTTTAAAAATAAGTATTAAGTTATGATAATGGAGAGTGTACATAATCAGTACGGCTTAAGAAAAGCAGCAATTTTCACAATGCTTGTTCTGCCTTTCCTATATTCATTAGCTTATGAATTACAGGTATGTTTATAGAAAGATGATTACTACTAAGAAGCTCCTGCAGCTTCTGTGGATTTATATTGTATTATTCGTAATCCTTGTAATCCTTTATCGCTACAGAATAGAATTTAAATTCCTTCAGTTTCAAGAAGCCAGTGACAGCGTTTCATACTGAAAAAAAAATGGACTTTAAGTGGCATAGTTAGATTTTTATCCACATGAAGGCAGTGTGGAGACACTTCATACTGCTTTAGATTTTATGACTGATTTTTCAGTGTAATTTCAAGATTGGTTTTTGTATAAAGCTGTGATTACTAGATGTTTGCCTACTGCATTGTGAGTATAATTTAAAAAGTATATATGTTATGTTTAGACAGAAGAAAAAAGCTCCAATGAATAATTTTACTAAATCAGTTTATCAGTCAACTGATAATCCTGTTTGCATGTGGCAAGTATTTTAAGCACATACTACAAAATATATTTTGTAATATAATAAGTATTACATTGTGATAATATTACTAATAAAAAAATCTGTCAGATTATAATTCAAAATGGAAAATATGTTTCTGCATGGACTTTATCACTTTCAAAATGTCCAAGTAATTACATAGAAGTTTTCAACACAGAAGTCAAAAAGTTTATGAGCAATGGATAATATACACAAAAAAAAGACAAAATTAAAAAAAAATAAAAAGAAACCCTAACTTGAAAAGTTAAGGAAAAAGTGGCAGAGGCTTTGAGAAACAGACTGAGATTTACAGACAAGGATCAACAGTGATAACACAGAAGCAGCAGCACCAATAAAGTCTGAAAAAAGATAACTGTGTGAAGTAAAATAGCTATCTGTGGGAAATGTAAGAAGTGAAATTTCAAGGCAGAAGACATGGTGGTAATATAAATATGTATAAAACATAAATGAAATAAAAAGTATAAGGTAGAAAGCCAGAACAGTGTAATGAAAATGAGAACTCTCGTTTTATTTCTCTCTATTAATAAAGGAGGTCTGAAAAAGATTAACACCTGATACACTGTAAATAAAACCTTCTGTGATAGGGGAAAAGGAATATTCATTTTTCTGATCTTGGCTTCTTAATGAAATGGACATGAGAGCTGTACGGCCATCCTTGGTTGTCCTTAAAATGTAATTAGAAATTTTACATATCATGTGTGTAGCACTGAAAATCACTCCCTAAATTTTATAAAACATGTCACAAGTGTCTCAGAATGTGCTCTCAGAAGAGAATGTGCAAAAGTAAATACTACGTAAAATCCAGAGACAAACTGTTTAAATATAATTTGTAATACTGAGCAACTGAATTGTATATTTGACAAATACATTAAAGGAAACCTAGAGGAACTTAAAAACACATCAGTTAAAAACCCTGCTCCCCATGAGACCTATGAGACATAAGAGACACTTAGCTACCATAATGAGACCACAAAAAGGGTGGATAAGAAGAAAATATTTTAGATTTTTAATGAACCAAATAATAGAATCAGGGAGTAAGTGAATTCCAAACTTAGCAGACATCACTGAAATAATGCTTAAAAAACTTAATTCCTTAAAGGTACATTTTGGTAAAAACATATTTTGATGAAAAAATAGATGTGAAATGTTTGAGATCTCAGTTATTTTGATTCCACGCTATTTTATGTATCAGAGACATGGGGGCAAAAGAAGTTAATTCTTAAAAGTAACAAATGGTCATCATGTAAGTATGTATGATAAAATCAGAATATCCTGAGTTGGAAGGGACCACAAAGTAAAACTCCTCGGCCTGCACATGACACCCCAAGAGTCACACCATGTGACTGAGAGCACTGTTCAAACACTCCTTGAGTTCTGGCAGGCGTGGGGCTGTGATCACTCCCTTGGGAAGCCTGTTCCAGTGCCCAACCACCCCCTAGGTGAAGAGCCTAAATCTAACCTAAATCTCCCTTGACACAGCTTCACAGCTTTGTACAACTTCTTCACTAGGAGTTTGTTTACAGTATCATATGCTGAAGACTTCTCTAGCCTGTTAAGAGTTGTGTGACATAAAACTGCTGTTACTTATCAGTTAAGTAATGAATAGTAGTTACCCCTAGTTCATAAGATTTGAACTGTTTAAAATTAAGTAAAAGTTTACAAGAATTAAAATCACTTTACAGTCCTGACAAATCAATAGTAAAAGTATAAAGGTGCAACAGGTACAAAATAGAAAATGCAACTAATCTGCATTGTCAATAGAGAAGTGCAAGCAAGAAATGTAGTCTGAATATTAACTCTAAACATTTAAGATTTTTTTCAGTGTCATTTTTGCAAAAAGAGCAGTGACAAAGGTTGTTGACGGTCATTTCTTCATGCTTACATACAAAAATATAACTGCAGTGTTAAGGAAACAAGAGAAAGGAAAAACTTCTGTAAGCATTAAGGGTACTAGAATACTTTTTGAACAGCAATACAAGAGTCATCTGTGGCCTGGAAGAACTGTTTTTCTGTTTAGATATTCTGATAAACTCAGACTTAAACCAAGTGTCCAATCTGCTGTCAAATTTTAGATTTTGTTTGGTTTTGGTTTTTCATTAATCCCTATGTTTTATAGCAGTGGTGAACTCAAAGCATAGCTTCTATTGAGCTAAGCTGCAGAGACAAAAACTCAGCACTTGTGAGTTTTGTTGTACATATACCTCAACTTACAGGTCTTAAATATGAAAGAGTATCTGAAACACGTCAATTAGTACAGGGTGTCTTGTCCACAGCTCAATTCTCTATAGAGGCATTTCAACCATCTTTTTTTTTCCTCTTCTTTTTTTTTTTTCTTGAATGCATGCATTCTACTCTCAAACTGTAGAAAAGACGAATAAAAGTGTTGTACAATGCTACTTCTATTTGCTAGGACGCATCAAGAGATTTCTTCTTTCTCTTCACTAAATATCCATTTAGTGCTTTACATGAGAGAGAAATAGCCAAAAGTCATCTCTCAAATACAGAAGGAACCAAAATAAAAGAGTGGGACATGGAAAAAAAATTTCACAAACAGCAAATCTTGGCATTTCGACATTTCTGAATTCTACTTTGAGTGCTTGAGTGTTTGAGTGTAGCACTCAGCAAGATGTATATAGCAAGATGTAGCAAGATATTATTTTAATCTCTTCATATTGTTTAGTAATTTAAAAAAGTCAAGCCTTGACTCTCATAAAAACTTTGTACCGACTTGATCACTCCCCTTCATCAACAGAGCAAAAAGCCCTTCCCAGAAATATGCATCTTGATTACCTGACCTGCCCTACAAGGGCATGCATCATGTGGCTTTGAAACTTTGAAAAGTTTCTCCGAGACACTGAGAAAATGGTTCTGAGGGTCTGAAATCCCTGTCCCTTTCCTGATTCTTAGAGTCATCCTGCTCCAGAGGTAGCACACTTCAGCTTGCAAAGAGACCGACACAGAGCCCTACCAGACGGCCTTCCACAATTTTAGCTCTGCCGACCAACATCGACGCTGACTTCCAGACTCCGAGAGGGCGTCCGAGCATTTCCCAGCTCGACCTCCGCCACCCGCCCCAAGCCTACCCCCGCCTTGACGGGACCCCCTCCTCTCGGTCTGAGGGAAGACCGCCCCTTCCCGCTCCGCGCTGAAGCCGGGCCTGGAGCGCCGCGCCGCCAGGGCCGCCCCAGACGCATTTCAGCGCCGCCTTCCCGCTGCAGGTGCCAGCGCCCACCAGCGCCTCGGACCCCTGGTAGACCAGAGACTGCGCAGCGTTCTGCCGTGACGCAGAGGAGAGAAGGCGGCCGCAGCGGAGCCCAGCCCTGTCCCGTTCGGCTCCAAGGCCCAGCCGCACGGTAAGGGGAGGGGAAGGGCAGCCCCACCGGGGCCACTTACCCGGCCGCAATCCCCCTGCGACTCCGCGCCGGCGGCCCCGGCGACAGCGGAGCGTCAGTAACAACGTCCCGGAACGGCCGCTCCGCCACATCCGGGGGCGGAGCGTGGGAAGGCGGGAGCGCGCTGGGCTGCGGCGCCCGGCAAGCGCCGAGACGGGCCGGACCGGGGTGTACTGGGCTAGACTGGACTGGACTGGACCGGGCCACTGTAAGCGCCGGCAGAGCGCCCGATCCCGTAGCCTCCGTACGTGAGCGCTGGAGGGGGCAGGCAGGGGGCCTCGCTCGTCACCTCCCCACCGGGACCGCCGCCATCCCGCCGCACCTCGGTGGTACGTACCTGCGACGGGGGCGGCGGGGTTCTCCCCGCGGGGCGAGGAGAGAGGCTCCCCCGCCGTACTTCCGACAGCGGAGCTGGGGTTCGGAGGACTGAACATCCGGGCTTTTGGGTGTGGAACCGAGATGCCGGAGCTGAGGGGCTCGGCCCACTGCAGGCTGCAGTCTGGGGGTCTCCGGCTACTCCGTTACCGCCTTTCAGGCGTCCCTGATGTGGCAGGCATTGAGAGCTTAAAATGTGGTCTACCAGCATTCATTCCTTTCGGTGTGTTTTCCTATTTTATTGGAAAAGAAGTAGCAAAAATATAGTCAGGTCAGGCCTTGCAAGCAACTTCTCATGGTGTATCTATTTTGTGTGTTAATGTTTCCTTTTCATTCTTCTTTCAACAGATGGCAAGTGGCAGCCAGAAAAGGATAATACAAATAACTGGATTTAAAAAACGGGAGAAGGCGGCACTGCTCAAATGCCTGTTGAAGCTGAACTGTGTTTTTATAGAGAGTAAGGTATTGTTCAAAGAGGATTAGAGCTGGAAGTAAAAATGCAAGTCTTATAAGAAAGGACTGTGCAATAAGTTAGTTCTGTATAAATAGACAAAGGATTTAAATGTTTCCAGTGATACAACTGTGTTGTTTTGTTTTGTTAGAAATACAGGAATTGTACACATCTTGTAGCAAAAAAGCTGTGCAAGAGTGAAAAGGTCTTAGCTGCCTGTGCTGCTGGTGAGTAGAAGATTTGCTGTTTAATTACATAGCATCACAGCATAAGTCTGGAAAGAACCCTTAAAAGGGCTTTAGTTATCTGTTTTCGTTTTGTGAATGAACTGTCTTAGAAACCTTCATTCTTCTTGTTCCATTAACCTTGATTTTTAACATAGTATTATGCTGAAGTTACAATGAAGTCCACTTTTTTTGTTTGGATTTTTTTCCCTAAATGATATTCTTTCTGTTTCCCTTTGTTGGATCTGTGTCTGTTCCCAAACAGAAAACTTTGTTATAGATAATGCAGTCATGCTCTGATTATTTGGATGCTTAAAAGGGGGCAGAGGGAGTATGAACACCTGTAGTCAGCAGGGATTTTTGACTACAAATTCACATGGAACATTCACTGGTAAAGGTCACTGTAAGTTCCTGTTTATACAGCAAGAGAAAATGCCAAGCTGTTGCCATTTTGACACAAGCTTCTGGTTCTTCCTCTTTAGCTAGGATCTGATGCTGAAATCCCATACATAAACAACTATAGTGGTTCTAGAATGACAATTCTGTATTTTAAGATTTCTTCATAGACTGATCACCTGTCAGAATTCTGTGATGAGATTTGAATATCTTGTAGTTATATCACAATACCATTTTCAAGCATGATGCTTATTTTCCCTATATCATATTACTCTGAGGAGTTAAAGCAGTTGTTGGTATGGATAATCTTAAATTAAGAGATAATAGACAAATGACGAAACATGCATTTGGGTTTAAAGATATATGTAAATTCCTTCATTTCATACTATATTAGTAAGCATTTTCAATTGTCTCTTACTGCTAGAAAGTAGGGGAGGTATATGTGTACATATATATGTATTTTTTTTATATGTGTGTGTATATATATATGTATGCTTCTTTGTACTAAAATAAAATTCTGATTGCACTCTTATCAAAAATTAAACAGACCAAAACTTTCCATGAGGGAAAAAAATACAAAGATGCATCTAGGTTTCTGGCACAGCACTTCATTTTGGCAATTTTAAACCTTTGAGTTAATGTTTTCCTACTTTTTGTAGTTTAAAATTTGAAGATGTTTTCTTTAACAGAGTTGAAATGGCACATGCAGTGTCCTCATGGTGATGCCAAGCTCTGTCATTTTTTTATACATGCAAATCTTCCCCAATACCATCTAATACTTTTTAATCCAGAAGAGATGCTAATTTTGCATAATCATTGCTCTTACTTGTGATGGAAGAGACAGTGTATTCATTCCTACTGTGTCGTTTTCCATGTAGTGAAGAAATATCATGTTTAAACACATTTAGAACTCCATAGAGTTCAGCAGAAATACTATCAAGGACACCATTTGTCTTGTACTTCCCAGCTGACAGACGTTTTGAGATGGAAACTTCTCACGAAAGTGGTTTTAACGTCCAGGTTGTGCACAACATACCTTTTCCAGTCATAAATCTATCAGTACCTATGCTAGGTTTTGTAGAAGTGCCATCTGTGCTTCTGCACTGAGACATTTTGTCAGTCAACCCTGCTGTTCTGTGAAACCAATTAGGTTCACACAATTCAAGTCAATTTCTCTTACAGTGTCTTCTGTAGGTAGTGTTTCAACACAGGAGCAGAGTACTAACCACTGCTCTTGACCTGAACCTGTAAGAAGAGAGAGAGACAGAGAAAAGGGGAAGATCATTACATACTATATCAAAAGCATACATGTGGAACATGAAAGAGGAGAGGCGGAGGAGGTGGAGCCAAGGGATGAGAGAAAAGGATGTGAAAAGAAGAAAGGAGAAAGAAAAAAGTCTAAAACTCTGTCCCCCGAATATTGATATTCACTACAGTAGCAGTGCAAGTAATGTTAAGAATATTTAAGAGAAAGAGCTTACATGTTAAATGTCTAGTTCTTTAAAATCATAGGTAGTAAAATATTACTTCATTTTAGTAAATTTTGTAAGTGTCAAATGGTATTAAAAATAAAGGACTTACTAAGGACTTATGAAGGACTAAAGGACTCCTGTGAAAGTCCTAAGAACAAAATCTGGGAAGCTAGGAAAATGTATCTGAGATTTTTGAGAAGGCAGACAAGTATTTTATCTAGGAAGGGTAAAGAGATACTTAATCATTAAAAGAAAACAAAGTGATCATTTTCAGTGGCATTGTGAGATTTTTGATTCTGGAGTCTGAAGCAGAGAATTCTTGTAATAAGAAGTTTTAAACGGTACTTAAAATTCCAGCTTTTATTTGCACAAGAAAGGTTTAAGTTAATTTTATATTAGTTCTTCAGTTGATTGCCATTTGTCTACACGAAAAATCTTTTGTGGTTGACAGTTCATTTTCTTTTTAGGAAAGTGGGTACTAACTAAGGAGTACATAATTAATAGTGCTGAAAGTGGCAGATGGCTTGATGAAACAACCTACGAATGGGGATATGAAATTGAAAGAGACACCCATTATTCACCTCAAATGCAATTTGCACCTAAAAGATGGCGTGAAGAACTGACAAACTCAAGTGCTCCAGGGGCCTTCCACAGATGGAAAGTTGTCCTCCTTGTTAAGAGAGGTGATAAACGAATGGCATGTATTAGAAGGTAGGAGTTCCATCCCAGTTAATTTGGTCCATAACAACCTCCAGCTATCCAAACTCTGAATTATTTTCATTAGTATATTTCCATACTTTCATAATGACTTTAAATATGTAACATCACTGCTTTTCTTGCCTTCTTATAGGCACTATACTTTGTGTTAAAAATAACAGTCATATGTTTTTATCAAGTAAGCTCCTAACAGAGACTTACTTCATCAGGCAAGATACACAGACTTACACTTTTCATTTTGTGTGGGTGTTAGGTTCAAATAGTAGCTGGAACTAGATACTTTATTTCACTTGGCTGGATGACTTAACTGTGTCTTACGGATCTGGACCACACTGTCACTGACCTGATCAGTCTTTGTGTCACATTTATATAATAAGTTCTTCTAGTTCTGAAGATGTTATTTGTTCTGAAACAGATTATTCTGATATATTATAAATACAGATAGTTTAGAAAGGGAGGACAGATGTACAAAGGGAAAGAAAAGGAAGGAAGGAAAGAAAGAAAGATAAAGAAAACCAAAGTGCGAGAATGCTGAGAACTTAACCTTTCTTTTCCATACTCTTCCATATGCATTTGGATTCATTACTTTAAATTCTAAATTGAAATCAGTGTATATTTAAGTCCTGTTTGCATATGGCACAGTAAAAGGAGTATCTCCTGACAGTTTCAGAGCTTTCCATTCATTCAGATACTGTCCAGCTTTCTGTTGAGATCCCAGCAGTTAGGATTGCTCAGGTCTGAGTGTGCCACAGAGGCACAGTCAAGAAGGGAAGTGCAGTTTGTCTGCTGGATCATAGTACAAGGCTGTATGCTACATCACAGAATGTCTGCCCGTCTGTATTGCATAAAGACAAAGTTAGGGGTAATTGAAGTTGCCATCTTCTGATTTTGCCAACTCAAAATCTTGTATGTGTGCTATTTTTTGTCTGATTGAGAGAATTTACTGTGTCCTGCTATGCATGTGAAAAATGCTGCTTCTTTTTTTCCATGAAAAGTGCTTATGTAGATGTTCATGATAACACTCTTGAAATGCTGTCTTGTCCAATGCTGTCTGTTTCTATTTCTTGCAATAGAAATAACCTTTAACAGGAACAACATCAGTAAGACAGGTGAACAAGTTTTGTAGAAGATGTTTTTTTCCAGACTGTTTCCCATGCACTCAATATGGGGATCCTTTTAGTCAGTCATAAAACACTGACAGGTAGATACTTTTTTGTCTTCAGCAGATACTGTTTTCAGTCATAAAGAATGCTGTAGCTTTGGGGAAAGTCTCTGTTCTTTCTAATATTTAACAACATTGTGCCTTTTATCCCCTTTCTGTGCTCTTCCTGCCTTTAGTGCCTAGTTGTTGGATGGGTAAGTGTGTAAGACCAGCACCATTTTCTTTTTATGTATCTGGATTATGAAAAATAAAACCTCTATCCAGAATGTCATTAGATCTTATTTTTCCACCTTTTGTTTTGTCTGGCATTTTTTCTAAAAGATAGCTGCACTTGCAGCTGTACTGGAAATTGTCCCTGGGGAAGCTGTTACGTGTAATGGTGCCCCAAAGACAAGCAAATCTCTTTTCTGTATATGATAATGTACAGCACTAATGCTGCAAATCTGATATTTCTGTTATGAAAACATCATGTTACATTTCAGAAAAGCATTGTGCCACTTTCTGTTAACTGCTTAATTTACAGAAAACTTAACTGAAAAATCATCATTTTGGGGTAGATAATGCAATAAATTCAAATTTGATACTTGAAAAGGTACACAGGTGAAACTTTCTATCCAATATATTGGAGGTATATATTGATTTTAATAAGTAGTGTTAAATTTTGAAGAGAAGGATGTTTTGTTAAGTGGGTTCTTTCATTTTCTGAAGGCTACTAAGTGCCCTTATATCTTTCTAATGAAGTTTGTGCTGTGCCATACATCTAGAAGCCTTATTCAGTTGCTCTTGCATGCTTGTATTTTGTGAATGTTATTGTAGCTTTAGGCAGTGTTAATATAATTTAGTAAATACATCTTCCTAAATATGTTTATTTAGAGTTCTTAAAGCTGGAAAGGCAACCATATGTTCATCTGAAAATGCAGAGCACAATATAACTCATATACTCATCAGTGGTAAAATTTCTCCTTTACAAAATAAAAAGTGCCACTCTGAAGCTCGACACTACCCTTTGCAATATATAGGACATTACCTTTTTCAAGTGAGTAAACTAATTTATTGATTACTGTAAATAATGCAGTATTAATAATGGAGTGGAATATAATCAGCCTGAATGTTTTGTGATTTGATTAAAGGTAAGACAACTTTCTGATTCTGGAACTGTGTATCCAGGAGGTAGGAAGGCTCGTGAATGTGTGCAAATACCTGAAGGGGGGATGCAAAGTAGACAGCTAGGCAGTTGTCTGTGGTGCCCAGTTGCAAGAAAATGACTGCAAATGGAAAGTCAGGAACCACTTGGGGTTTTTTTTTGCTGTCAGGTTGAAGGAGCACTGTGGCAGGTTGTCTGAAGAGGCTGTAGAGTCTCCAGAAGCCATCTGCACTTGGTCCTGTGCTAGTGCAGAATTCATTAGAACCAAATTTTGTGTTACTATTCCCTTAAGAGAGATGTTTCATACTTGTTTGCTTACCAGATGCACTGTCCAGAAAATCTAAGTATTTTCATCTGGAACTGGCGCAAAGGCTTCCAAATATTCATTTAGTGTGGTTGTTTCTCAGACTCTGGGGTGACTTTAGTCAATTGCTAATTGAAACTACTACCTTTGCAAGCAAGTAGGAGCTAAAACTGTGTTTGTTACTGTTTATAAATCCTTTGGTCTCTTCTGATTAAAGCACTTAGCTCTCCCCATATAATAAGGTATTACGGAAGGGTGAGAAGAAGGTCTAAATATTTACATGCTGAAAAAAAAACATCAGTGTGGGCTCTTACTCTAGTGCTTACTCTCTTAATGAAATTTGTTCAAGAAAGTTGCTCTCATTTAAGCCTTTCAGCTAAGATGGACATTTTCATAGATGAATTAATGTAAAGTTTTTATGGCTACCTCATCTTCTATTGATCTCTGTCAAAATCGTGTGTTTCTTGCTGTGCACCCAGAATTCCTCCCAGGAGAGATAACAACTTTCCATCCTAACGAGTCCATTAACTTGCACATATCTTTTTTTTGCTTAGATTTCATTAAAGTAACTAACCTCAGAGACCTCAGAGACCAAGAGAACATTTGCTTTCTATTTAAATGAATCTGAAGAACTCAGGAAACTGCCAAGGCTCCTAGTCTCTTAAAAGGAAAAGAATAAAACATAGGCAATCAAATCACAGCACTTGTCCAAATATATTAGGCTTTATCAAAGAATGTTATGGACATACTCTTTTCTCTTTGTCCCAGAAGTACTTGGCGTATAATTCATTAGATTGTTCTAACTTCATGAATTTGTAGTCATGCTATCTGACTGCTACTTCTAGCAAATATAAATCTCATTCCTCCCCTAAACATCCATATATGTCCCTAGATGATGGATTCAGCAAAACAGCATTATATTCTTGTCAGGGCAACTGAAACTCCACTGATGTTCAGAGTATTCTTGCTGTGATTTTTTGATTTTTTTTTTTAAACTAAGTCTTTGCTTCCTGTTCATATTTCAGTATCTGTTCTTATTATCTCAACCTTGTAAATCTACTGTTAACATAGTGTGTGGGATTTTCATTCATTATATGATTCTCTAAGGTTTCAAATTTATTGGTTCAGGATATTAAAACACATGCATGATTTTAGGACACTAGTCTCATACTTAAACAGTGACTTTAAAAGCTTTGTTGGATGCACACTGGAGTTCCTAAATTTTTGCCAAGACTGACTGTACGAGAAATTGTTTGAATGTAAGTGTTTTAACGACCATATTGAAATTATTGTGCATGAAGGGCCATAAGAAGTAAAGACTACTTAATGCATCAGAGTTCAGTTATCCATGGCTCATCAAAAGCTATTTAGAACTCTATTCTAGTTACCAAAAATATTTCATTCTGTTTTGAAATATGCAAGAAATTTTTGTTCTCAATATTTGTTTAGAGTTACAGTTATGCACATGCCAAATATATTTGTTTTGAACAATACATTACAGGGAAAAAAAAATAGGATGAGACATGTAACATTTGAAACTTTTGTCTCGAAAACATGGAAGTATAAACTTCTTGCACCTTGTCATTGCACTGCTGTGTTTTTTCTCTATTGTTATGTCCCAGATTCGATTATTAGGCAAGTTACACCTAACTTACCACACCTGCTCACAATAAAAAATGGCCAATGGAATATTTCTCCTGTATCTATCCGATGATTCTTAAGTCATCATACTACAAGAGGAGTCTGTTTTTGTGGTTACCTGTTTATTTACCTTAAACAAACATGGTGTTTTATTCTTAGCCTATCTTTGATGAAAAGCATGCATTCAAACTCTTACTGAAATGTATGTTCTCAACCTATGAAGTAAATTTAAAGCATTTTTTATAGTTATTTTTTTCAAGTAAATGTTACTTTGTGGTGTTACTGAGAGTCTTTTCAGAATGAGTTGGAAACCAATTTGAGAAAAGCTTACTCATTCCCTGTGCTGAAGAAGTAGCTGAAAATGATAGTTGAACTCAGAGAATTAATTATTAGACAAACAAACAAAAATAGTATAGAAAAAATAAGAACAGTAAAATTTACTAAATTTTAAATTACTAATCTGTTTCATGTTTATGGGCAAGAACTGAAAAGATTTAATTGTAGTGGTCTATATAAAATGAATAGAAATGAAATTGAAGAAGAAATGCCTTATAAAATTTTTACTACATTTTTGACCAGTTGAAAATGTGTGAGCTCTGGTGTTGAGAGAGAATCTGTTATAGAAGAATAGTCCTTGTTTCAGCCACAGGGATTGTGACTTGACCTAAAGTCTGTCAGGAAAAATAAATGTGGGGAAGCTTACCTTGGTAATTCCTGTGCTGTAACTTCCTACAACATCAGTGATTTGTATCCAAACCAGCAGCATCTGCCACATGATGTAGACGCTGACACAATTACATAAGCATACACAGGCACATGCAGCTTGCAATACAATATATAGAAAGACCCAGCACATAAAAGTTGGTTAGAACATTAACTTTGAAACAAAGTACTATTTTTTGCTCTGCAGAATGAAATACAAAGTCCCAAAGATACCCAGATGAACCATTTCCTGGCTGCACAAGAAACAGACCAAGGCATGTCTAAAATGCAACTTGCCGAAATGAAAAATGTTATTATAAAACATATGTATTTTACTGCGGTAAGTAACAGTTGGTGCTTTATTAGCATTATGTATTTTATATACGTAATTATATATTTTTATATTAACTGTATTAAAAACCTCTGTCATTATTGACAGAATTGAGCCAATAAAGTCGATACTTTAGATACTGCCTTTTAACCTGCAATATTTAATAATCCCATTTTTATCACATCTGCCATTAGTTAAAATAAAACTTACTAATAGCAGTTCATTGACACGGGTATGTTGAAGACACAGTGTACTACTTAAAATCTTGGTGTAATAGATGAGGTAATAGGTAGCAAATACTGTTCAACAAAACATCTTTGAATTAGTGCCTTTCTGTGATTATCCGGTTACCTAGCTAACTTATGGTAAGACATTTTTCAGAATGTCATTTTGTAAAGCTAGTATTCTGTTGACTCACATGAATGTTTTTTATTACAAGTCGAAAGTAGAGCTAACGCACTCCTGTGGTTTTATGTTGTCACAGATCTAATCCTGGTAACATTGCTACATTAGTAGTTAACACCATTATTTTAAGTCAAGAAAAAGCAACTGACTACCTTGACTTAGGATATATTGTCTCTCTAAGTTACAGTTACAGATGCAGATGAAGGTGTCTAAGTATATTTTTAGGAGCTTGTTTACATGAAGCTCTGTAAGTTTTCAGTGGTGGAAGAATTAAAAATTTTAAGTCCTCAAGGTACACACAGTATTTAAACACAAGATTACAAATAGAAGACTCATGCTGCTTAAATCTGTGCACCATCAAATGCTACATCTTTTATCAGTGACATTTTAACAAGGCTATACCCCCCTACACACACCTAAAAAATAAATTGGTTGTTAACTTTTCATGTATTTTAGGTACAGCAAGTGCTCTGGTTCAAACTATTATGTAGCAATGTGCAGATGGATTAACACTTCAAAGATCTCTCCTAAGGATATTTTAGTAACATGTTTTAGTTATTTGTAAGATTGTAATACTAGGCAGTAACTTAATATAGATGTAATACATTTTTGTACCTACTACCATATTTTTGCATGCAAGAGGAATCCAAAGTTGGCATTTTGCCACGGAAAAGCTGAAAACTTTTAGCTCTTTAATATCTAATCTAGGAACACTGTCCTTACAAAACAACCAAATAGCAACAAACAGATAATAGCAGAGGAAAATGGGAAGGAAAATTTTCCCGTATTTTACTCCTTTTAAGTCATTTGTCCCCTATTTCATAATTTAAGCATCCAAAAGACAAATCTAAATGCTATGTTGTGTTTCAACTGCATTTAACAGAAGTTGTCATTTGGGAAGTCTCATGCACTATTTATTGAATATGTTGACTGTTATCCAGTGTGCAGGTTAACTTTATCCTGTTTTACAGACTGTTAAGCACAGACTTACGCAAACAGACCACCTGAACAGCTGCAATCCAGAGGTAAGAGTTATAAAAAAAAGAGGGCATGTTATGCATATGGAATTTTATAGTGAACTTAGACAAACATGCTTTAATTGCAAAATTAGCTATCAGAAAAACATTTTTAGATTTTGGCTATTAAAAATTGTGATAAATTGATATTGATGCATTAAAGAGCATCATTGGGTGTTGAATGTTGTTTGTTCTTGTGACACTTTCAGTTCTGTCCCTGTTACTACAAAGAAACTGCTTAATCCTGCTAGTTAGGAGAACCTTACCTATTAACATTAGGAAAAAAAAAACCCAAAGATGTCCTAATATGATTTAAAGCATCTTAAATTACTCAAGCACTGTATATATGCAGTAGCAATTAAGAGAGAGCATACACAATTTTTAGGACTGCTCACCTTTTTCTAATAGAGACAGATTTTAGCTACAGGTAAGCTGACTATAAAAAGAAATAGTACTTGTTCTTTCAGCACATGCCTGATACTTCATCATGTGGGTTTCCAGAGTCAGCTGAAGCACAGATTGCATGTAGAATGCTTTATGTTTTTCAGTCCTGTTTTCATAATCAGTTTGACTTAATTCCTTTTTTTGTAGTATTTAATTTCTCTTTTTTTATTTCCATTAGCCAAATAAATGCCAAAGAACAGGTACAGGCAAATTAATACTTTTAAATTTTTGCCTTGTCTATCTATAGTATTAAGACTAAGTCTATGAACAGTGTTGAAACATTGCCTCTTTAGTACTCAAAAGGCATTTAGTACTCAAAAACATTTTATACAGTGGCCATGAGCTACTAGTACTATTTCACATGGTAACTCGTTTTACTTAACGAAACACTTAAAAGTGTGTGTTATCCTCCTGTATTGGTAACTGAAGATCTGCTACCTTCATGAGCCATACTACATAAATAGTTACTTGAAAAAATTTTTTTTTTTTTCTAATTTCTTTCTATGGACAATAAGTGAAGAAGAAGAAAAATATTTTTAAAACATAAGCAATAAAATACTTTTGTCATGGTCCAACACCATCTGATCTGCAAAGTGCTATGTATGTTTCTGCTCCTGAAGAGGTTTATGTTACTGTGTAGTTTATTGAATTAATGGGATAAAATTTATCTTTCTCACCACATGTGAGCTGAAATTCTTTTCCTTCACTCTTAAGAATGATATCATTTTTTTGCTTGGAAATTTTAAGCCTAATTGGAATACTTCTCTTACTGTTCTGTCACTTTTACTTTAAGGAACATTCATTGCTAGCGTTTATATGATATGTGACTTCTATAGTCAGTATATCTATGGCTTTTATAAGCAGCTCCAGTAAACATTTCCAGTAATACTGATGAAGTAAAATCAAACCTACAAACGAAACTACATGTTCGATCTGCCTACTGTATTTTGTCATCTCAGTTTGCATCTGCTAGGAAGGCTTAGCTCAGCTGTTTGTTCTGTTCCATCATCATACCAAAAATATTTATTTCTCTTTTATCAGCTTTTCTTCCACTAAATGTAAAATGTGAAAGATGTATTGTGTGGACCTTCCTATTCCATTTGTTGCTGCTCAAAGTCCTAATGATTGTACCAGCAGTGCTTCACAAAAAATAGCTGATTCCTCAAGCCAGTGAAGCTTCGATAACTTATTAAATATCTTCAATAATAGGTGTCTCCTGATACTGACAAAAGTTTATTGCCTCAGTTTTGTATCATCCTTCTTTACATCTTAGAAATGTGCTGAACCAGTCTCTAGTTTCTCTCTGACTTGAATGCTATGCAAGAGGTACCGTCTTCCCAAAACAGCTTTGCTTTAGGGTATTTTCAAAATAATGCATCAAGGTTACTGTTTCTTCTAGTACAGAATTTTCAAAAAATAAATGTTTCAGTTCCAATATATAAAGCTGGATGCTGGCGTGATCACTGGGTGAAGGTCAGTGGTAACATGCTTGTATATGCCCAATATACAGTCTTAGATCTTAAATCCAGGCAGCAGAGAAGTTCTTCTGTGACTGTCATTAAACACTTTATGATTGCTCTTTAGATGTGCTGTTTGCATGTAATTAACATTACAAAAGTATGAATGCAGCCATTATTTCCAAAGGAAATTTTAGTGGAGATTTTAATAGTGCATGTATGAATGAGAAGATTGAAATAAATGTGAGCTGCAAACACCAGATGCACAAAGACTTGATTAAAAGAAAATTATCTACATGAGCAGCTTTATTTATTGTTAATGAAACAATGACTTACATTAGGAATCTGAGATACAAGACATTTGCAGAGAAACTAACAATCTAATGCTAAGGTGGAGTTAATTCACTCTAGCTCTAGAGTGTGATTTAAGACTCTAGCTGTGATTTAACCATGATTATAATAATTTCTTTCTGAATTTTTTTCATGTTTGAACAGAGCTCCTAATGTTTTTTAGCTTATTACTGGAACACTTTTGGAAGCTATCTAATAGCAGTATATTTAGATTTCAAATCCACAACTGGACTCAAAGTCTGTGTTAATTTAAAATTCAAACTATTCGTAAAACAATTGGTAACATATTTATATTGGATAATAGGAAAATTTCTCTCTGCAAAGGGTTGTCCGTATCTGGAAAATACTTCCCAGGGCAGTAATGGAGTCATCATCCCTGGAGGAATTTAGAAGATGTGTACAAGTGGCACTTACAGACATGGTTTAGTGGTGAGCTTGGGAGTGCTGTTAAAGATTGGACTAAAATGATATTAGAATTCTTTCCCAACCTTAACAATTCTATCTAATGCACACTAAGATGCAGGAATTTTGGCAGAGATCTAAAAGTCAAAAGTTATCAGAGACAACAGCAACAATAAACTTACGTAACTGTGTAATTCCCAGCAGTCCAATCAGTCTGACCATGCTTCTCTCAGCTATGCTTCCTTATCCCAGAATGAGGATAAATTTGAATTTATCAGAACCTCAGGCTCTGTGGTCAGACAAAAAAGGTGTACTTCAAAAGAGGATTACATGGCAGAAGAAAGCCAAGCTTCAATTAGCAATACCGTTACAACTGGCTTGTGCATTCAAGCTTTGGCTTGAACCTGAACTAGAGGAGAGATGTAAATAGCAATGTAGTTGAGACCTTCAGTAGCTCATTAGCATCATTAATTTGTCGTCTTTAGAAAGCTGAAAGTACAGACAGTAACAGCAAAGTTGCAGAGCAGATACAGCATCTCATGGAAGCTATTGCATCTCTTTGGGTTCTCTGAAGCCGTAAAGTTAAGAGTTTTGCTGTCATGAGTAGAAAAGAGTATGACAGAAGTCCGGTGCCAGTAAGATCTTCTTGACTGGAATGACCCCTTCTGCTTGGAAATGAGAGTCTCTTTTCCCCTTCCTAGCAGGGATATAAGGTGGAATAGAATAACCTCCATGTCTTAGTCACATCCCCTATGGCTACTGCAAAAATTAATTCTATCCTGGCAAGGAACCAGGATATGTAATACCAACATTCTGCTTAGAGATTTCCTATGTCAGCTAAGTTGGTTAGTTTAATTTAAGCTGTTATATATATTTTTTTACAATGATATCTCATTTCTAGGTTAGAAGTACTGACTGGTCCAGGGGCACCTGGTCTATACTTCAAGGATTAGTGGAAGAGGACTTACTTCATGATGTAGTCACAGAACTTGCTGCAGGCCAAATATGCAGAGCACCTCCTGTGCAACTTCTTCACCCTCTTCTAGAACATGTCCTATTGGTGAGAGATGGAGAATAAAGTATTATTAAAAATAAAAGCAATAAATGGAAGTATTATGATCTTTGCTTCTGATATTGTATTTAGTAGTTTTTAGTGATGCATTCACCCTTTTTGTGCTCATCAGTGTGCTTGTAAAAAGAAGAAAGAATTCTAAAAAGGGTTTTTTCAAATTAGTATTTATTTGCAAGCCAAATTAATGCTCTAAATATTGTGGAAGACTTGGCCACAAATATTTTTTGTTACTTTTAGAAACAGCATTATGCTTGTATGCCATGGATAGAGAGATCGATTGAGAGGATTTGCTCTAAACAGTGGTGTATTAAACTGGAATATCACACTAGAGCAAGTTCTGCTTTTTCTCTTCCCTTTTTTTTTTAACTATGTATTTTTCTCCTTGGAGTTGTGCATTAAATTGCATGTTACTTCAGTGATTAATTTTGTTCACTTGGGATTGTAAAGATTAAAGGAAATAAATAAACTCTTAGTGACTGGAGATATTATAGATATTTGACTGGTCTGAAGTCAATATTATTTTCTCATTTTACTACAGGGAAATACTGATGCAGTATTTTTTGACAAACTTTGTCACGTTTTTTACCTTGTTCTTCACTGTAATCCTCCCTGGAAGTCCCCATCTATGTTAAAGTATTATTTGGATCTTCTTCAGTGTCCTATTTGTAAGAAAGGCACATGGTCCTTAATAGAGATGCTTGTAAGGTAAGAAAGATTATTGAGGTACTCTATACAATAATTATCTTACTCTAAACTCAAGGACAGCAGAGCAGAGTTGGCATTCTATTGCATCAAAGTCCTATTTTCAACAGAACATGTTACCAGTATGTGAAAGTCTAGAGTTGTAACAGATTTGGACATTGTGCTTTATGTTTCAAAAAGTGTTAGCTCACAGGCAGATGGAATTTTTTTGAAAGAAAAATAAGTTTATTTTCTTAGTCTTATTTATTTTTTAAGAATTATTTTATTTCTTATGCTCTTTGCAGAGTATAGTAATCTATGTACTCTTGCTGGTTTTGTGTGTATACATACAAATAAACACACACATGCCTGCGTGCATGTATCTGCAGTTACAAAGCACATTCAAGGCTTATCTTACCAAACATGATGTTTCATGTTGTATTTCGATTTTAATCATAAACCTTTATCATCTTTTTGAGGAAGTCCGATTATATCTTACCTACATCTACAAAGACAAGACAGTGTTCAAGAGCTGTTTGGTTAGTCTCTGCTTTATCTTGCAAACTCATTTTTTGTAATTTGTATCAACAGAAATTAATTCTTCATTTGGAAAAGAAACTATACTTCTTATTGCTGTGATAAAACCTTAAGTAAAATTTAAATACTTTGATAGAACTGTGATTACAGATACGTGAATGTGTATGATTGTAAGCACGACTTGAAGAACAGGAAAGAGAATTTGTCTTTTTGATGAAGTGTTTTGGTTTTTAGTACTTTCTGGAGAATATGAATACCCAGAAGTTGTATACCTGGTTGTAGTACTCAAAATTCTCAAAAAAAGTGTGTTTGCATGTTACTTGAGAATGATCTCCATCATGTTTGACTATCTGTAATCCCACCGAGTAGTCCCATCAAGTTGTATTATCTGAACCGAAGTTTGTCGGATGTTACCATGTCTATAAAATGCTACAAGATTATCTTGTATTTAGAAGATTTTAAAGAAGTTCTGTTTAATATAATAATTGCACGATATATCAAATAGAGACAGAAAAATGAAATCTACTTAAATTATTTAGTTTACACTATAATACAAAACCTTCATCTGGAACAAAAAAGCTCAGTCACAAACATGTTGTGGTTTGATTTTTTTTTTTTTTTGGAGGGGGGTTTGTGGGTTTTGTTTGTTTGTTTGTTTTCTTTTGAAAAAAGCTTTAAAACCAGAAAATTAGGCTTTAAAATGTTGACTGTTGCTGGGGGAAGTAAGCTATTTCCTTGTCAAAGCAGACCAGATTCAAAGCTGACTTTTGTGCCAATAGATAATCGGTTATTTCTGTCATACAAATGGAATTTTTCATTTTTTATTTTTCAGGTCTTGCCTTTATTGCGAAACAGCTTGTCATACAGTCACAGTTTCAGGGACAGAAGATGAACTGAGGATAGTTCATAAAACATTATTGAAGTTCTTCTTTGATTTAGTAAAAGGTGAAGTAGAGTTTCTGACAAAAAGGTAGGGTTTATAGAATAATACATGCATTTATTTTTTTATTTACAGCAGCTTGTATCCTGATTTGTGTATCTCCCTGATAAGATACTGCTCTACAGAGCAGTTTAGCAGTTCCATTTATATCTTTCAATTCTTTATTTGTCTATTGTAAATTCATAGGTTTTTTTCCTAATCATGTTCTAAGAGCTTTTGCTTTTCCCAGTGTGTTTTTTCAGTAAGCATTTAATTTTGCTCATTAAGTGGTATTTTCAGATTTACAGTACTTTGCTGTTCATTCTTTAAGGTAGACAAGCAGCAGCATTTTGAATGTACTGATTTATATGTTTGATTTTTTTCAGTTCAAATAACTGTTGCCTCCCTATTACCTTAGGGAGACAATTACCTTTCCTTGGTTTATGAGGTATAAAAGAAGTCTAGGTTTTGCTTTGCCTTTATATAGTAATGGTGGCCTTTACTTTATGTAAATAGTGGCACAGTATTAGCATTCCCCAGTTCTAACAATAAAAGTCATCATCATTGTACTTAATCTTCATCAGAAATTGTGCCTGATCTTACCATAGTTGAAAATCACCAAATCTGTGTGCACTTTGAATGAAGACAAGGTTTCTGTCTCGTAACTATAACAATCAAAGTGGCATAAAGCTTTAGTTTTTTTCTC